AGGAGAGGTAATAAGGTTCTGGAGAAGCAGCCTCCTTTTTCATTGCTAAACAAAGCATTCTTCTGCCCCAGAGCTAATTTTCAGATAAGCAAATAGGATCTCTGCTGCTCTTCAGTTTTTGTCTCCTCACAGGAAAAAATTCTCAGGAGACCTTCACTGCAGATGGCAAGTGAATTAATTTTTCCTTTTTTTATTGCTCATAAAAGATTCCTTTTTTCAAGGGTAAGAATAGTATCATCTGAGAGTGCGTGGTGCTGGATTTGATGCAGATGGCATTGCAACTTCATTACGTTCTTTCCCCCCACTCAGTAAATGGAAATAAATTAAAATTGGTACTAGCATCCTACGGACTCAAGATTAAAATGTCATTTTAATCTCTGAATTCCAAAGTAGATGCTGGCTAATACCCCTTCCAATTTCAACATGTTAACATTTCTTGAGTTTAGCTTCCAACTCAGTTGTGACTGCCATTTTCACTCCATTATTCCTGCCTTAGCTATGTTATCTTGTCTGTTTCTAGCAATCCTTATCCTCACTGAAAGCTTGCAGAGTTTTATTTTAATTTTGGACCGTACTGTAGTTTTCAGCCTTTAGCCAGTCCTCTTTGTGTAGTAGCCCCACTTACCTTATTCTTTTTGCTGTACACAGCACTGTGCCACAGTTTTATTTCTTTAGCAAAGTCTTAACTTGTTTTTGGCAATTCTTACCGCGTTACGTTTCCTGGCAGCCAACGGATAGCTTTCCCATTTAACTAAGTGCTTTTCCCTTTTTTTTTTTTTAAATTGAGTCTGTTTATTTCTGTTACTGTTTTGTGTTTATCTGGATGTGGTGATTATTGGGGGGGTGGTGGTGGTGGTGTATTTTTGTTTTTCTTTTGTGTTGATGATTTTTTTTTTTAATTTATTTTTGTTCATGGAAACAACCAATTGACTTGTGTTTTTAAGTTACTCACTCCAGGTGACTTCTCCCATAAATGGCCTAACTTTATCTCAGGAAAAGCTTTGTTAAAAATCTTTATGATAATCTGTTGTTTCTTCTTCTAAGTAAGTTGAGTCAAATTGGCTTATCCTGCTAAATCTAGCTTGTTTTCTGTGCACATCTTTTCCTTTGTGACTGCTTGGCAAAGCTCTTCGAGTAGAGAGAGAGAATATTTTATCTGTTCATTGGTTGACCCGTTAAGGTGTTTGAGTCTGAAGCTGAGTTAGAAACCAGGATGTTCCAAAAAGTACTACTGTTTAATGAAAAATGTGCCTGAAAAGATGTACTAGACGTGTCCAAGTAAGTGCTGTACTGAATAATTCCCATTTTGAGTCATCTGCAGGCAGTTAGATGATATGGTTCTTAACACTGGGCTTCAGAGGCATTTCTTTTGGACTTCGGAAGGAGTATGTATTTGTCAGATAATGCCCACTGATCTCCTCTTAAACTTTTTTCTGGAGGTTTTTTTTTCCCTTCTGTCCCATTAGACTTTCTCTGTCTTAATTTCCTTTTGCTGCTGCTCCCTTCTCTTGGATTTGTTCGCAATTAATCTTGCAACTACTTCACAGTGGTGGTAGTAATGGCCATCTTAAGTTACACCATTAAAGAAACATCACTCTAACAGTGGAGTTACAAACTGAAGAATAGGAAGGCTAATTGAAGGATGAAGGGAATAGAGAATACAAGAGAGGCTTACTGTACTGGTACGAGCTTGTTGTAAAAGGTATGTGGTTTTATTCATTTCTGAATAAGTTTCTGACTGTCTTTTCCATATCTTGTCTAGAACGTAGATAGTAAAGCCATGCGTGACCAGCGATTAGACATGCAGCGAAGAGCAGCAGAGACTGGTGATGATGACCTCATTCCATTTGGAGACCGACCAACTGTGTCAAGATTTGGGGCTATCTCTCGTACTTCCAAAGCGATGTACCAGAATTCTGGTCCCATGCAGGCCATGGCAGTTCAGGGAGCTACCACCAAATCAATCATTTCAGGTACGATGTGTGCTCTTGGATTTTGCTGGCTGTTGCTGTTTTCTTTAGTGCTACAGTCTAGTGCAAGTTGAAGACAGCTCCTGTAAACTTGTTGCTTGCCTTAGAAATATAGCTGAGATGTACATTATGCCACTAAAAATAATTCTAGGTAGGGCTACACTGAGAAGCCTGAAGAAAAAGGCTGGCACTACTTCCTGTTCCACAGAGAGGTTTATGCACACATAATGTATGTGTTGGTGATTTGTTGCTGTTTGGAAAAAGTTACTTTGTTCTGCTGGTCCCTCTGAGATGAGGCTTCTTTTAAATCTGTTGTAGTAGAATACAGAAACTTACTGCTTTATCAAATATATAATGCAAAACCATCATAACAAAGTACTGTTCTGCACTCCTACTTTATTGATAATTGCTGCTGCAAGCTTAATGCAGCCATTGTTTTGTGTACTGTTAGGCAAAGCAAATGAAGTAGGAATGGTTTATTTTCTACACATCTATTTTTCTCATCACATGTATAGCGTGGCTGTATATCTTACTCCAAAAGATGGTCTCTTTCTTCAGGTGCACTGGATAATCTTAAGAAAAGACTTAATTATATTCCCTCAAACTTCCTTCTAGATTTCTTTCAGGAGTTAACTGCTGAAAAACTCATCTGCTTAATTCAAGCAGTAACTTTCTAGACTTCATCACAGGTAGAACTCTGGGTTCCCTGAAAGCTTAATCTTCAAACTGATGTTAACTAGGTATCTCAGAATTCTCAATTGACTCTTGAGTCTTTTAGGAACTTAAAAATAACTGCTCTCATAGTGGCTGTAAGTTTGTTTTTGTGTCCCTTTGTTTTCTGAAGTCCTTCACAAACTCATAGACTCTGGAAGGCTGTAGCAAATCTTGTTGGACATGCAGGAAGAGTCATGCAATATGCATGTGAGACTGGTCACACATAGTATTTTTGTGTTCATTTCAGCAGAAGAAACGTCAGACTTCCTCACTGTTAGAGGGCTGACCTTCCTGGTTATTTTCTAATTTCTGTCCAGTTCTGTGTGTTGGCTGAACTATTTAAAGGATAGTTTTGTAGTAATGTGACATGGTTTTCTTCCTGTGCACTGGCAGACTACAATCCTTATGGAACTCACGGTGGCTGGGGAGGCTCTCCATATTCTCCTCATCAAAATATACCTTCTCAGGGACGTTTCAATGACAGGTAGGATTGCTTTATTTTTTCTTTGCCTTTTTCTAAATTTTCTTTATCTATTTCTTTCTGTGCCAGCTGAGTAAAGCTTTTTTGGAAATCTTATTTTTGCTTTTCTGATCCCAAAGGGAGAGACTGTCCATGTCAGATGTGGCTGGTCATGGGAAACAGTTGCCCTCAGCAGAGCGAGAGCAGCAGCTACGCATGGAGCTGCAGCAAGTAGACCATCAGATTAGCCAGCAGACACAAATGCGAGGACTAGAGGTTGGTACCAACATTTGGAAGAGTGGTGAGGGGTGGTATGGAGAGAGATGAAGCTAGTAAAGCTGCTTTTCATGTGTTGATGATCTTTCTTTGACTGTAACAATATTCAGGAACAATACTTAATTCTGTGATGCCAGGCATCAGGACTGTGGTACAACTGTAAACCACTCTGCTCAGCAGCAGAAACTGCCCTGCACTTCGTGTGCAAATCATCACCATACTTGAATCTGCACTCTGTGTTCATTCATGTTAGCTTTCACTCTCTCTCACTTACTCCCCCTCTCTGTTCATCTGTTAACTCAGAGGCAAACTTGTGTAGATACCTGTTCCTCTTGGCTTTACTGCCACTGAAAATGTCTGATTTTATGTACAGAAAGCTATGATCTTCATCTGTTTCACATTTGGCTTTGTGTTGTACCTGTTTCTTCCTAAATAGTGCAAGCCACAAGAGTCAAGAAAATAAATATTAAAGATATTTAGCTTGGAAAATTAAAGCTTAATATTTTATGTCTCCGTGCTTAGAAGAAATTTAGTCACTTGCAACATGAGGAAAGATAGGAGTCTGCATTTGTAAAAGAATTAATGAGCTGAAATCTTTGTATTTTGTGAGACACAGAAGGAGAAATCTCAAGGCATAATGGAAGTGTTTTAGCAAAGCTTTAGTTACTTTTTTCCCCTCCTAGGAAAAATCAGTAAATATTTACCAGAAAACTATTCTAGGTACCTCAGCAACTATTCATATTAATGTTTTCCCAGAAGGAATTGCTATAAGTAGTGGATAGCAGGTTCTGCTGAAACTATGGTTACCGAAGAACATGTGTTATAGAGGAGAGTTATTGCAGATTAGTTTTAAGAGCTCACAATTTTTAAATCGCAGCAGCAGTTACAAGTAGTATGCATTTCTTAGTTACTTGAAATATGACTTGTGTTCTTGTGCTCTTGTTTGGGAACAAGAGGAGAAAATGTTTTAAATTTTGCATGTCTGCTTTTGCCATAATAGAGGAGTATTGGAAAGTTGCAAAACCCCTAAGTGGCCTTTCTCTCCTGCTCATTATTATTGTGATTGTGTCAGTGTTAAATCCTACATAGTTCAGTTTTGAGCCTTGATTTTACCATAGTATGAATTTCTCAGAAGTAATCAGTTATTTTGAGTAATAACAGCTTTCAATTTATCTTTTGTGTTCAAAGCTGCAAGTAGATATTTGAAACCCAGGAGGCTTTATTGATTTACCTGTTACAAGGTTGTAGCAATCACTTAATTCAGTCTGAGCATGAAGAGAGAGATTATTTTGCTTTCTTCTCAAATGAATGAGCATTTCTACTTGTAGACCAGCCAGATGTTCAGTTGTGTGGAGTTAGTGTGTTTAAATGCAGAGCATACGCTTACGGAACTGATTCCCAAGTATTAACAGATTTTTGGAGTGGCTGACATGGTTACTGCCTTTACTTGGCTGCTAGTAACTTGCAACTTGTGAATGACCGTAGTCACTTGCCCTTCTCTGTTCCTGTGCTTCCTAATCGGGGTCAGTAGAGAGCTACATGTTGACATCCACATCTCTCAAGATATTTTATATGATTTAGTAATAATATGGGCTCTACTGTAGAATTCGATAAATTCTACTACTGCAAAATAAAGCAGCAGATTTGCTTATCTGCTGTTATCTTTTGTTCAACAAATAGCTTACAAAACAGTAGTGGTTTTGTTCATGTGCTTAAACTTAGTTTTGAGAAGGGAGAGGTATATGGGGAAAACCCATGCAAATTTATTACAGTAAATGTATTTAACACTGCTTGTTTAAAAGTGAAAAGACTTCTCTGCATTTAAAAAATGTTTAAACTTGCATTGGAAGTGATTTTGATTGGGACCTTGTTAAACATGGAGAGAGAAGGTCTTGATTTTGCAAATAAGCAATACTTGAGAGTTATGGCCTAGAGCTCTTTCTGTGCTTGGTGTGTTGTGTGCTCAGTTGTGTATGTGCTTGGCTTTATGCATTTAGGCTGTTAGTAACAGGCTGCTGTTGCAGAGGGAGGCGACTACCTTGGCAGGCCAACCACAGCCCCCACCCCCACCTCCCAAGTGGCCTGGGATGATCTCAAGTGAACAGCTGAGCTTGGAGCTACACCAGGTGGAAAGGGAAATTGGGAAGAGAACCCGTGAGCTGAGCATGGTGAGTGCCCTGGGGGTGGGAGGCAGAGAGGTGGAGTGGAGAGCCACGTAGCTGGCTGCAGCCCCTTCACCCTGGCAAAAAGGCTCTCTGCTGGATGACCACAGCTGGAGTCATCCATCTCCCTCTTCACCTCTTTATTCTTTAAAACCTCCTGAAAAGTTTCTTGATTCTTCTTTGTGAAGAATTTGAATTCTGGCAACTTTAAAATGCTCTGCTGTTATTTTGTCGGCATTTGAAAATAAGCATGGTGCTGAATTTGTTGAAAACTATGAATCATCTCCAAGGTCACTGTGCCATGAGTTCTATAAACTGCTTTAACATAGAAAACATCATCTGCAAGTACAGGCTAGTGTTCAGAAGTCTGTGTGCTGTTACAGTCGATGGTCTTTGCTTGTTGTTACAAGAATCATCCCTTCCTTTTGGGAAATACTGTGTCCTGAGAGGATGAGCATATCTTACTGAGTCTGTTTTCTTGTCTCATGGCTTTTATGGGTTATACTGTGTGACTCCAATTTACAGGCCTTCATCATTGGTCCCAAAGGATGAAGTCTCAAATTCTTTTAACACAATGTTAAAGAATGTTTCTTCTGTCCTTTTTTTTTAAAGGAGAGCCAGTCTTCACTGGATATTAAAAACAAACTGGGCACCACTAAACAGACAGAAAATGGACAATTAGAACCACAAAGCAAGGTTCCAGCTGAGGACCTCGCACTGACATTCAGGTAATGTGGGTCTTCAACCTTTCTTTGTATAACAGGAGAATGACTTAATCAGGGTCCCACTCTGGTATATGAATAATACCCCTTGCCTCACATTATCTCTGATGTGGAAGCATATACTAGGAAAAGATTATACAAATCAAGCTTTCATAGTGCAAGCATGAATTAAGGGTCATTTCAGCTGATGAGTAGGTGAGTGGAATGAGACTGTATATCAATTAACACAACAGAAGAATTGCAATGTTTGTAAGGCTAGAAGTCCATCTAGCCAATATTGGACGAATAGTAGGGAGGAGCAGGAGATAAACAACAACCATAAAAGAAATCTTTATCTACCATTTTAGTTTCAAAGAAAAGAAATGTTCCAAATGTGAGAGGAAAGTTATTCCATCCTGCTAATGTTTGTGATGTGGATGTTGTCTAGAAAGGTATGTAACTTTGAAACAAAGTTCACTCTTATTTGTAGGCAGTAATTTTTATCTGTGTAGATGCTGGGAATGATTTAAACTCACATTTGATAGTCAGTTGAAATAAGATGTTGGCTGGGAATGCTGGAAATCTACAAAGCAACCATTTTCAGATGGCTGCAAGCATCTGTGTGTATTCAGCCTAATACTTTGAACAGAAAAGCTCAAATGCTGCAGATGTTTCGTAAGTCAAGTTTACATAGCTTCATGCGAACAGTTTAGAATCTGGATGTTTATTCAGAAAGTGTATTTATTCAGAAAACGTATCCCTATTAATTGCTTATGAAGTCCTATAACCAATCCTTGAGTTCTGTGCTGCAGCATTAGATCGAGGCCTCCAGAGCAGAAACTAATTTTTCCATATGAAATTCTGGAAATAATGAAATTGAAACAACTTTTTTTTTTTAATTAAAAAAATTAAGATAAATGATCCAGGTAAGTTAAATATTCTGGAATGTGTGCATTGTACAGATTGATACTGTACATCTTGCGGCATATACTGAAATACCTTGCAAAATATAACTAATCTAGAACCCTAAAAATATGTAGTCTTGTTTGTTTTCAGTTAGCCTTGTGTTAGTTCTTCTCTTTCTGGTAAGTACCTGCAGCGTACCAGACAACGTATTTATTATACAACACAAGTTTTTACATGTTTACATATGTTCACAACTGTTCATTGAGATGCTGCAGCAACAAATATTGAAGTCCTTTTACTTAAAATAAATGAAAAATCTCAGTAATTACTTCTCTTCACCCCTTCCCTCTTTCTTCTCAACTTTCTTTCAGCAGCGATGTTCCGAACGGATCAGCCTTGACACAAGAGAACATTGGCCTCCTGTCAAACAAGACAGCATCTCTCAGCCTGTCAGAGGACCCAGAGGGAGGAGGAGACAACCACGACTCCCAGAGAGCGGGAGTTACACCCACGTCTGCTCCATGAAGTGAGGCCAGCATACCCCAGAGTTTCTTTTGCTGGGGTGTTGGTAGCTTCCATCACGTTTTTTTCCAGGGGTGATTGGAGAAACCCAGGAGCAACAGCAGTAGCAGAGCAGCAGGTCCAGAGGCAATGTGCACAAACACAACTACTAGAAACAAATCCTGCACATAGTTCACATTAACGCATTTTTTAATTAAAAAAATGAAAATTAGCAGTATCTGCAAGCGATTCAAATTAAATTTGTTTTTGTTCTGTGAATGAACTTTATTTTAATAACTTTGGACGCCTTGGATCCCAGGGCTTAAAAAAAAAAAGATATTATATATATACTCTGTTTGATTAATTGTATGATCTTAATGAAGTAGGTTTTTTCTTTTATTTTGGTATTATTACATACCCAGTGCATAATTCCTTATCACCTTAATTTCTCAATGACTAAAACAACCTGGCCGCTTCCTTGTATGGTTTAAGGGTAAACAAGGAATGAGGGTTGCAGAGTAGCTGTGAATTGCAGTGTCAAAAGATGTGCAGCAAACTTCATTCTTAAAACAGTTCCCCCCACTGTGGCTAGGAACTGAACCCTAGCTTGTGCGAGACTGCTTAAATTATTTAAGTTTAAACTACAAGTGACAGAGTCTTTGCCATGTAACAGGTGCAGTCCTTCGTGTATGTCCCAGCACAGCATGTGTAATTAAAGAGGATAACAAAATAAGTGTCCAACATGCATTATTTTATTTGAAGGTTGCTGGCCTTTTATTTTCTGTTGGGACTAAAGAGGTCAGCAGAATGCAGACCAGTCTACTACAGCATGGGTATTTCTGAAGCTGGTTAGCTGAGGCTTGTGGTAGAGAGGCTTAACTAACCAGTGAAGGTTGTGCAGCCATGACCAAGGCTAGAAACATGAAGTAGAGTGAACATAAGGTTACGCAGTTGCTAGAAGGATGTTAACTGCCCATGAGCTGGTGAACCATGTTAGTTCATCCAGTGTTTGCTGGGGTGTTTTTTTCCCCCTTCTCACTGCCTTTAAAACAAGCTTACCCAAAGTCCATACAATTAATTTGATGCAGAGGGACTTACTGAACTCTCTGCCTTTTGAAACAGGTCTTTCATGTATGCCTCCTTCTCAGCAACTCTTGCCTTTGTTTTTTCTTCATTGTTATTTTATTATTATCATTAAAAACATAACAATTTCCTCTATAACTTGATTTTTTTCCTTTCTTTTGTTCAGTGATACAACAGTTATTCAATTGTAATACTGTTGTGAGGGCCTTTTACTGAAGGAGACCAACATCTTTGATGGCAATCAAGATGATGGCTATCTTTAAAAAAGAGGGGAACATTTATTTCTTTTTTAAATTTGACATTGTTTAAAGTCTGTGTGTATTAGAATTTGACACCTGAGAATCAATCTGCAGCTTGTCTGCCACTGCTGCAGTGAATCCTTCCTAGATTCCCCTTTCACAGGGGAAAAGTTGCATCAAAATGACCATTTAAGGTACAGCACAGATCCTGTCAGAAGTAGTTGAAGTAGTGAAAAGCAAATTTTGCTGGATAGATCTAGTGTGCTACTTCTCCAAGTAGATGCTTTGTAAACGTAAGGTGGAGAAATGGTAAGCCTTTCTAGGTGTTTTATTTAAAAGTTAAAGAAATGAAAGATTTTGCTCTTGCTGCACATTTTTTGACTCTTTCGACATGCACTGGTGTGAGACCCTGTATACAAAGAACTCTGTGGAGAATGACTTTAAAGTGCTGCTCCCTCTGCACCTTCTTGGCCTGTTCTCATTTTTTCTTTCTGGGTTAGACTACTAAATTGGAAAGCACTGGTTATGTAATAAATTACTGCATTGCTTTGGTTGGGTAAAGCAAGAGTTAATAATTTTTTTTGGTTTTTAGTTTTTTCCTTAACCTTAACTCCTGCTGAGGTCATAGCAACCTTGGGCTAAGCTTTGCATTCATCATACTGTTAAATAAAACAAAATGGGGGGTGGGAGGGGATACAGTCCCACTATTGCCTACCAGTAGGAGAGTCCAAACAGAAGACTCTTTTGAGTAGCAATTATTTAATTTGCCCAGTCAAGGCACCGCGTTTATATACTATTTCACATTGAATTTGATTATGCCCTACAGACCTGGCTGGTCAAGGATTTGATACACATATTGGCTTGGGATTCGAGCTTTCTTTTTTATTTAAATAAAAATTTATATATAAATATATATATACATATATACATAGTTATATCTGTATATATATTGGGTATGTTTTAAGAATTTTTTCGCATGAGCGCAGCTGTTGTGATCAAATGTCTGGGAGGTAGAAACACTGAATGAAAATAAAGGCATTTTTCAGCACACACGCCCACACTTTCCATACGTCTTCACACGGGTTTATTTCGCTCTTAGTTGAACTTTGGCCTCTTAATTGCCAAGAGTAGTTTTGAAGCTTGCTTTTTTTTCTAACCCCTCTTTTGGCAAAGAATCATCGCAGTAAAATAGCTTCATCTACACCTTGCCCCCATCCATCCTTATCTCCTACTTGAGACCTAGCATTACAGCTGCTCCCCTTCAAGCTGAGCAGAGCTAGGCTGATGCAGTTTTGAGCCCGTCAGGTCTGTTCCTCCCTTCTGTGCTCTGGGCATGACCATGATTAATGTGTTCCCCTGGCAGCCTGCTCACAAGTCAACTGATATGGGCACCGTACCCTGTTCTCCCATGCTTAAGTGCAGAGCACCACCATCAGGTCAGCCTTCTCATTGTAGTTTTTAATTAGTTTACTTCTTCCTGCTGTGTCTTTATTAACACAGGGAGCTCATTTTAGTTGAGATAATAGTGCAATATTCTAATCTAGGAGGACAAGCCCAGAATGTACCTTTTTTGATTGCAGTAATTCTTGATGTAAAATGAATTTTCAAAGACGGTTATGATATGTTTGAATCTACAGAGTCATTTTCAACACTAGGAAGAAAATCTGGAGGGGCAAAAAACTTTTTGCCTTTTATTACTTGTGCCAGCTAGTTTCCTTGCCAAGTTAGGGATTAATTTTTTCTCCACTTTTGCTCCCGGGAGGAATTCTGCAGTAAGAGCTGTTCAGATTGCTGGCCTCCATATGGTGAATGCTTCCAAAACCTGTGGATTAGAAGGAAGACCTTACTCTTGTTTTTTCTCCTTTATCCAGCTCTCCGTGCTGTACTTTGTGCATAGTGTCCTTGTTGTGGTCAGTGTGTCCAGGTGAATGCCCTGTTTGCCCAATATTATATTTTGGCTTGTTAAATAGTTTGTTTAATATTTACCAACAGTATTGATTTTTGGCTTTGTTTTTTCCCTTCCTCCTCTTGTCCTTTTTCTGCTTTTGCAGAAGTTTAGTTGATAAAACAAGTCAAACAGCAAAATGCAGTGCATGCTTTTAATTCTTTCTGGAAGCGGCACCTAAAATTTTCCCTTTTTGTGGAAAAGCATGCTAGTAGAACTGGGAGGACAGATAGCTCTACATATAACAGAAGCATTGATGGTTACAGCAAATAACTAGGGAATGAAAATGTCTGGAGTAACTCTGTATACTGCTACGTTCATTTCTATAGCCCATCATTGTCCCAGTTGTACAGGAATGCTGTCCACCTCAGTGAAATTGGTCTCAGCTAGAAAGTGGTTTAGTTCCTTCTACTTGGGCAAGAAGAAGCAGTATTACAATGGTGTTAGGACACTACTGCATCATTTGGTAGGTAGGTTAGATTTTCTACTGCAGTAGACAACTTTGAACACTCATTGATTACCTGAGTTTCAGCCCCAGCATGGAGAAACTCCCCAGAATAGGAAGCTTCAAGTGTTAGGTTAAGTTTTGGTATGTCAAACAGTGATTCAGTCAGTGTAGGAATGTTGTTTCTTTATTCTGTAGTGTTATTTTCCTCCTCCTTCTGTCAACATCTCTTCTTCCTTTCCTGTGACTTAGCTCTCTTTTCTTAATAGGATAAACTTACACTTTTTCTTCTGCCCCTCTTGCATACTATCGTATCCTGTCCCATTTTAGAGTAGGACTTTTTTATTCAGATCAGAGTACCTTTCAAACTTGCAGCACTGTTATCCCCTTTCTTCTCAAGTTCTTCTCTGTCTAGTTTCCTCTGAGCCTTACTCTCTCCCTTTTGTCCATACCTTCCTTCCTTTCCTTCTGTGGCTTCCCTGTTCACCCTCCCTGATTGTGTAACAGTGACAGCTTGCTGCCTCAAAACAGAGCATTCAAATGAATTCGCTTAGCCAATAACTTCTGTGAAGTTGCCTTTTCTAATGGTGTTATTACTCAGTGATGCACAAATGTGATATTGCCCCTACTGGTAGGCAAACGGGGGATCTGTATAAACATGGTAAACTGCTGTTTTTCTTTAAAGGAGAGCCAAAGACTTGTGCTTTACACTTTTTTTTTTTCCTGGTGTAGCCATTTTGATTGTCAAATCTTTGTAGGGTTTTGTGAGTTGACTGTATTATCCTAATAACAATTTACAAAAGTTAATGATTGTCAAGCCTTCTCCATATGTTGAATTGTGGAAAATCATTCCATTTAGTCATACAATTTGCAATGTACTGAGATGTATCTGGGGTATTCTGACATGTTTCCAGTCTCTCATGTGCTCTCTCAGATGAAGGAATGGCTCATTTAGAGAGGGAGAAGGAACATAGAAATTTTATATAATCAAAGAAGCCTTGTCTTTAAGTGTTTAAGTCTAAATTGAATACTAATTTAAAATTTAATTCAGTTACAGTAAAAGATAAATCTGTGTTGCAAATGTGACTGACTTTTAAGCCCATTGGAACTGAAAAGTCTTGTCAAACTGTAGCATTACATTAAATTAGATGTGGAAGAAGCAAACTTGTATGATGATATTGTCTCTTGACAGCACAAATTGAGTAAGGTGGGGCAAATTCTTTATTAGAAAGGACTAAGAGTGAGGCTTTTCATTGATAATACAAGAAAGCCACTTGCATTTCCCTTCCTTGATCTAAAACTCTTGCAGACTGTTACGAAGGCTTTCAGGTTCAGAGAGAAATTTATAAGTTAGAGTAGCATAAACCCTCATTTCCATTGCCATTTCCATTTATAAATCGGACTATAGCGAAGCAGACTTACAGGATAGTTGTCTGAAGAACCCGAATATAAAGTATCTTCGGTTGACTAAGCTATTTCAGACCCCCTTTCGTGGTCCAAGAAATTCAGTGCTAATAATCAGGAGGCTCAAGAGCAGGAGTGCCATCTCATCTTCTTTGTTATAAAATGGGGGGGGGGAACATATAAGCAGTGTGCAAGTTTTCTGCTTGTCTGTGTGTGTATGAAGAAGTTTTTGTAGTCCTAGAATAGCTAGAAGGAACACAAAGCAGGACTGGGGCATGACGTTACCTTCATATTCAAATTTTGTCATCGTTCACTTTCCAAAACACACACTTCCTATTTGCATCTTATAATGTTGGTAGCACTGATTTAAAAACAACCAAAAAAAAGTCAGCGTGTCAGCAACTTAATTTTTTGTATCGCAATAAATCAGTTCCCCTGGATGAAAAAAAGGCAGCAAAAGTTCTTGAGTTGTCTAAATGGCAATTTAGACATGAACTGGAAAAACATCTGCCTTGCTTGAGTAAATGTAAACTCTGAATTTATGAGGAAAGTGAAACAGCTTTTCTGAGCCACCTTTTAGGTATAGCCTTGGTGCTAACAGTTGGGTGGTTGTTACTTGTGGTACACCAGCATACAGATTATGTAGCGCAAATTGATGTATTCTCAGATGAAATATAATCTGAAATGTCAAAAACTTCATTTGGGGATTCTCTTTTTCATACTCAACTGTTATCAACTGCATTATTTTCTGTTGAAATGTCGAGGGGGTGAAAGAGGCTAGAGTAAGTTAGTTCAAGTCATGCAATATCAGTAAGCGATTTTGGGGAATGTTATCCCAGCACAGTGTCCTTACACAGTTAACAAGCGGTCTTTATTGTGTAGGAAGAAGAATGTAACTGCTTAGTGTTGTCATAGTCTTTGAGGCACTTCTTGTGATGCAGGTAGAGCCTTGATTAGCAGGAAAAGGAGAACAAACTTAATATTGATTTTCTTTATAACTTTATTTCCCCATGGCAAGTGTAATATCATGCCGTGGAAACTCTTTGAACACTATGGTAAGCAAAGAGGGTGCAGCTTTTTCTGAAATTTCCCAATAAAAAAAAGCATGTGGGAATGTGGATTTGTCTGCATTGGGAACATCCCGGTCATTTGAACCTTAAAATATGTGACCATAATAATCAAAACTGAATGCCTATAGCTTAGTAACCTAAATAATTAACTGATCTTTCCCAGGCAATCTTTGCAATTCCAGTGAGTTTGTGAATGATTTTAGTGCAAATTGCCAGGTGTTCAGCATTTAGGAAAGTCTAGGTGCCTAGCTTCATCCAGCAAGGCAGGTGTCTTTGGATATACAGGCTGGATGTTTTCATATTCCAGGAAACAACTGATTCTAAGATTTGAAAGTTTTAGGAAAACACAAGTATTTACTTCAATTTGAAAAATACAGTTTTGGGAAAGATGGAGGCAACAGGTGGTGCAGTGCCTCTGAAAATAAAAAGCATTAGAGATGATGGAATTACATACGAAATGTATATGGGGAAAATATATCTGTAAGCAAAAAAGAAAATCTTGTGGAGTATTTGATGTTTAAGAAATTATTTGCTTCTTTGTAATGTTAAAAAGATTTATAAATCGCTCTGTGGCAGACAGTACTCACAAGTCTTTGGCATCCAAACCAGATTGTGTATTGGATGAATCCCACAACTGGATGTGTGCACTGATCTCTTTATTTCTAGCTTTTTAAAAAGAAACTTGGTAGCAGCATTTTATAAATGTATAAAGCAACCTGAGACAGAAGAGAAGAAACCCTGTTCACGTCACAGCTGCTGCACAGTTTACTATTGGTACCTTTAATCGGCAGCCTCTCCTAAGTGAAGCTGCTCTAACATGGGCAAATCTTCAAATCATTAAATGACTTTCAGTTTTTTCTAATTTTAAGGAGTTCCCATTACCCCTTTGGCCTCTGCTTGCTGTGTAAGCAGCCTCTATGCTAAGAGGAGCTTTCCTTGAAGTCAGCTTAGCAACTGTGCTGTAGCTTGATTATTTTTCCCTATTTTCTATAACTGGTCGCATAGTGTCAAGCTCTTTCCCCGTTGTATTTGTTGCTATGGGGAGGAAGAGGTGAGGTAAGGCATGCGTGGGAGGAGGGAGGAAGAGTTGTGGGATCTTCTATATGACAGCTCCTACCCCCTCTTTGAAATGATCCACTTCCAGTTGTGGGATTTCTCTACAGATTACTTTTTCCCTGTTTTTTGTAAGCCTAGTTTTCTTTGATCTTGTTAGTTCCGTACAAGTCTCCCCGAGACATTCTGCAGTCATTATCACCTTTTTGGGTGGAGTTTATTTTATTTTTTGGTTTGTTTGGTTTTTTAAATACTTTTTAACATTGGTGCGTATATGCTTGGGATAGAGCTCATGTAATTTTCCAATCGTATTGATTGTATGTGATTGTGCCCTGCAGAGGTATATTTAACAAAAAAATAAAAAGGATAGCCTAGGTAATAAAGGAGACCATGAGATTTGTTGAGTCAGGTTATGAACTGTTTCTTGAATTTATTTAGGATCCTGGATAAGTGAAATTACCTGTCTGCTGTTCTCATAAATCAATGCTAACAAAATGTCATGAATTCTCGCTTTCTGTTTGAACTGGTCCTTTTCTTGCTTTTCTTCTCCTTCTGCTGTTTTCTTCCTTTCCTGCTTCTCTTCCCCATCAAAAAAAAGTCTTGAGCCTTTATGGGAATGGCTAACTGGGTTGGTATTGTGAATATTTATTGTTTGTAACTATCAAAACATTTTTAATAGGAGTAGAGATTAAGTAGAATGTATGAGAAGAATTCCGTAAACGGAATTCTTTGCAAGTTCAGGGGAATTTTGAAGTCTTGTACATATAGGCCTGGTCACGGGGGAGGTATTCAGAGGCACACAAGGCACTGAGATCGCTTTCTTTGAAAGGTTAGATGTTTTACTACCTTTTGGAAAAACTCTGAGATGACAAAAGGAGTAGAAGAAAGGTTCGCTATATCCAACTCCCTGTGTCTTTACTCCTGCAACATACTTTTTAAACTTGAAAGAAAAGCCTTCTAGATATTATGCTGAAGTGGGATGGAATGGACTGAAGGAGGCAAGAGGATCCAGAGATCTGAAAGTCAGTGTTTGTCTCCTTTATTTCTTTTTTAGAACTATAGAGCCAACAGTGTCACTTTTGTATTAAAGAACAAGGAAGTGGAGACCTGTTGTGTGTGCATGGTGGTTGTCTAGAAAAAGCCATATGTTGAAATGCTATTTCTTCTTCCCTCTTCACCTCGCTTTTCTCCCTCTTAAAGCTGGCTCAGCCTCACCTTGCTGCCACATAGTGTCTAAGGGTCCTTTGAGTTACAGATTCAACAAAAAAAATAGAGTGGAAAGGTGGCAATTCACTACTTCATTTGTAAATAGATGGAAGTGTCTACAAGGTCTTACCTGCTTTTCTGTCAGCATTTGTATTAAATGATAAATTAATGGAGAACACTTTGAAATATCTCTCATTTTCTGTCTGGGATGAATGTGCATTCTTCTAGATTTTGTGTGAGGTGTAAGACTGGGTAAGACTGACTGTGTGAGACTTTCTCCGGGTCAAGGTGTGCTTGTTCTCTGCCAGGCTGGAGCATAAGAGATGCCAAATAGCAGAGAAGCCGCGTGCCTCTGTTTGGGGGTCTGGTCTGTTCTCCTCTGACTCTGCCTGTAAGCTTAAGTGGCTTCTTCATGTATTCAAGAGAGGTGAATGAGAAAGGATACTCAATTAGCAAAATTGATTATTTTGCTCGAAGAGAGTCTACGTATTTAAGAAACAGAACAAAACAAACCCTTCAGAGCAAGGAGCAAGCAGCGTGCCTCTAATGTTGAGCCTGTTTTGGAACTTGCCTTAAAGCGAGAATAAGGTTTGCCCCACCATCTGGTTTGTGGTTTTTCATCTTTTCCTTTCGCTCCTTTTTGTGGGCTTTAGGAAGTCAGTAGCTGGCTATAAATCTGAGACTGGATGAACGTAGTCTAATACAGAATAAGCTGCTGCTTCGCTGAAAAACTATTCCTCCTCCTATTCCAGGGCAAGCACAGCCTTCTGCCCTGGGAGTTCATGCATATGTTTATTACCTCTGTCTTTACTTTTGAGCCCAGGCACTGTGGATCCAGTCTGAGGTGTGTGCTTTGCTGGACTGAAGCCCATCACTGCTGACTGTTAGGCCCCCTCACACTTCCACACAGTTGTATTTCCTTGCTGGATGGCTTGAAGCATGCAGTTCCTATAAAGGGAATTGTATGTACTGGGCAATCCTGCAGAAAACTGGATGTTTCAGTCGGTGATGGTTTCCTTTGCCTTTGTCCCACTAGTCTGAGGGTCCAGGATGCTCAGGTACTCGCCCACTTAGGAATTAAAAAAAAAAAAAAAAAAAGGTGTATTTCTGCAGTGGTTGGCTTTTAAAGAAGATCTGAAGTGCTGTGGAGAGCCAAATCCCTGTGGAAGGGAGCGGTGGCTGCTCTGCATCAGGAGAGCTTTGGGGAAACTTGGAGGTTTTTGTATACGGAAAAGAGGGGAGGCTGGCTTCAAGTGGGTGGCAGCTGCTGGAAAATCTTCTCCCCTTTGGGTATGGATCCCAGCATGGAAGGGAGCTGGGGAAAGCTAGCCCAGAACACGGGATTTCCTGATCCCATCTCGCTCTGTGAGTGCACGAGTCTTCCTCCCTGTGCATCGCTGTAAGACTCAACAGTGAGCACCCAAGGCACAAACCAAAATTAAGCAAATTTGTGTTCCTGCTTGCCACTCAGGTATGTTTAAGGGCTGTTTCCAGCTTCTCCAAAAATGCGGCAATTCAGAGGACAGTGCAAGTATGTTGAGAAAACCCACCGTCTCCCTGCTGCTGTAAACTGCTCTGGGCTCTTTTCTGTGAAAAGCAGAGAGCAGAGCTTGTGATCTTCTTCCAGAGGTGGCAGGCAGCGGTGCGCTGTACGTCACAGCTCTATGGGCACTTGGAAAAGGCAGCAGCATCCTGAAGCGAAGGGGTCCCCTGTCCTGGCTGGGATGTCTTGAGTTGTTTCTGTAACTTCCTTCCCCGTGACTGTGAACTCTGATGCCCTGTCTCCTGGAGTATGAGTGTGGGAGAGACTAAAACTGAGGCATGATGCCTGCTCCGTCTTGCCCTAGGCCACCAGGCTTAGAGCTTTGGTGCTTAGTGATTTTGAGCAGCTGGTCCCTGCTTTGGGTCTGCGAACAGCGGCTTTGGGAGAAAAACAGTCCCTCCACTAGAGGAAACAAGGCAGCTAGTGATTTGTATTAACACACTTGTCACTTTGGATGCTTCCGTAGGTACAGCTCTGCTCAGGCGTGAGTGCTGGGTTGTTGCTTTGAGCTGAACCGGCAATAAATTGCCACTTACATACCGCGCTCAAAAAAAAAAAAAAATCTATTAGCCACCCTAAAGGGTATGGCTTGGGGAACTTACAGACCCCTTCAGCCCTACAGTTTCAATTCTGGAATTAACCTCACTGTTAATAGGGCCACCATCATTAAAGAAAGCATTTCCATGCTCAGTTTTAGGCGTTCGGCTCTTCTTTGACAGTGAAGCAAGCATGCAGTTGCAATACCAGTGTACTTTGTCACACTGGTGAGAGTTCATTCACATTAGCTTGAGCTATATGGGATGTGCAGAATACTATAGGTGTTTGCTCTTGTTTTTACTGCATTAAACTACCCCTAAGCATTGGGTGAATGGAAACCCATGCTCGGATGTCTGCCTGCTGCTCTCTGCTGGGTGTGGAGAATCCCTAATTCCCCCCACAAAGACCCTGGGACCTGCAAGCACGGGAGTTACCTTAGAAAATTAAATCACCAGCCACTTGGAGCAACAAGGTATGGTGTGAGAGTCCTTTCTCACAGAGGACGTTTTACCTCCTGCAGCAGATTACAAATACCTAACCTGCGGGTTACTCACCGACTTGCGTTGCAGGTCTGGCCTGATATGCGGTCAGGCAGAAAGCAATTCTGAGGAGCAGGCGTTTGTGTGTGTTGCTGGGCAGTGTTGAGAGGGGATTGTGTAGCTTTTGTGCTTGCTTTTGATGAAGATATCCCCGATTATAGAACTGATGAGAGAGCAAGAATGATGTTATGTTGGGCAGAGGTAGTTTTAAATTTGGCACTTGTGGCCCCAGGCTATGGAGGGGAATCCATGAAAGCAAAGCTGGGTCCAGAGCGTGTCGTCCTTTCACTTATTTCCACAATCTCTGCCCCATTTAATTCTAGCCCTTACTGGTATAGTAAGGTCTTTTACTTCCCCCAAACCAGTCTGCAGCTGCATTTTCCATTAAGACCTGGGCTCTTCCTGGAGGCCAGTAACAGGGCAGCTTTAGCACCTGCTGAGCCAGCCAGCTCCTGGGTTTTGATGTTCAGGGGGCAATGCTTTCGAAATTGTAGAGCAACTGCATCCTAGATCGGAAATTGTGTTGCTCAGTCCTGCTCCCAGTACTGCTACGCATGGGCTGGAGATGGGGGGAGACACTGTTAATCCTCAGCTTTCCAGTTGTGCAAGTGAAAAGGTGAGTGTATTTAAAAGGGGACGTATCTGAAACTGCAGAGTGTAAAGTGGGGCAGTTTCTCCCAACTTGTGCCTGTTTGGGAATGGGAGGTGACGGGGCTTGGGGCAGAGGGAAGCATTTTGCTGAGCTACAAGATACTAAAGTGAGATTTACAAATACCTTAAATCACCACATTTTTATCTGAACTCTTGAAAGTTTGGGGGCTTTTTTTATGGTATGAGCAGTTAATTTTCTATTGGCAAGAACTGAAGGCATCTGGCACTTGCATGGGGTAGGTGGTCAAACTTTCCCTTGTCAGATTGAACTTTAAAACCTCTTTCAAACTAAACATTGCTTTTTTTCTGGTCTTTGCTTAACCTTCTGCAGCCGGTCATCAGCCTTTGGCCTCAGCATCCTACTCCCCTCCCACCCTCCCCTGCTTTCGTCTCAGCTCTGCTTGAGCACAGAAATCTAGCGGGGAAACTGCTTTGGACTGGTTTGGGCTCAAGCAAGACTGCCTGTCCTCTTAACGATTTGCATTTACATCCCAAAAGCAGAAGGCTGGAGGTACAGGGGCAGGTAAGAGAAACCAACTCCGCTAATGTTTCATTGTTAATTAACTCCTTGTCACAGGTTCATTTCCCTTTGTAGGAGCCTATGAATTTTAGTTGCTGCCAGTGTTTTTTTGCTCTGGGCATGGGCCTGAGGAACTATTTTGAGAGGGCCCTCCCATCCCAGCTCTCACGAAGGCTCACTTGACTTTTATCCCTGACCTGTAGCAATGCTTCATGGTGCGGAGAGCAATTCATAAGGTCGGGTTGTCCTGAGTAATCACTGATCTCTTGCCCAGCTGTGAAAGAGCACTGCTGATCTGCTTTGCGCTCTGTTTTTGGGGTGTGGGGGGACAGGGAAGGCTTTTCTTCTCAAAAGCCTAAGTCAATCTCAAAATGGTTTGAGCTACTTAACATTTGCTGGGCTCTTTAGCACACTGCATGGGTGCTGTGGGATGTTCACACTGCCGTGGGTAGCACTGGTAGGTTCAGTAGGGTGGTTGCTGGAGGACGAGCTGTGGGTCTATGAGCCCAATTCGTTGTCCCTTCATGCAGCGATGATAAACAGTGGAATGGAAATGTCCTGTGCTGGCTTGGAGCCCAGCTGTGTTGCACAGCAGGCGTGGGATGGAGGGTAGTTTCTGTACACTTGCCCGGAACCTTCTGATTTTGAGCTGAATCAGCAACTTGTTTCTTGGCTTTCTACCCTTCTTAGAGGGGTGAAGCAGAGGAAAAGAGCCCTTCCTAATTTTTACATTCTTCCTTGCCAGTAACCCCTTTCAGGCAGTGATGTTGCAGTAATACTTTTGGGATCCTTCCAGGATGAAAGCAGTTGACTTATGGAGTGTGTGGCAGTGCTGCAGGGGAAAAGGGAGTGTCAAAGAGCTGTGGAGGGAGGAGGAGTGTTTTTCCGCCAAGCGCTACGGCAAAGAGCTGGCCTAAGAAATAGCAAGGGCTGTTGCTCTAAAGGGCAGCTGTCGCCTCTCAGGGTGGTAGTTCGCCACAGGTCTCACATCGCCTCTCTTGCAGGAAATACTGCGTATGTAGATTGGATACGTCAGGGGCTGAGCCAGCCTTAGTGGCTGATAAATTTGGTTTAAGGCATTAGTATGAAGTCCTGCATCTCCTCTAAGTTGAGGGAGTCAGGACTTTACTGTGAAGTAGAAACAGGGAGTGTTTCCCATTTAATCAGGACAGGATGAAGATGAGGTGCTTGCCCCACTCTTGTGCTTTGGGTTTTAAATGTGAGATTAGCAGCACTTTGTGTCATGGCAGATGCCACCATCTGCCTTTATCTTGACAGAAGCAGGCAGTTGTGCTTGTACAGGCAGGTCAGAACATGCTTGTGGACATGCCTTTCCCTGGAGGCGAGCAGAGTGACAGAGCAGGGGCTGCAGTGA